TCTTTGCCAGTTTTTCTTTCAGAAAGTTTGGGTGCGACTATTATGCGGGAAAATCTACTACACAGTATTGTACACTGTAATGCTAAAGCATTACTGGTATAAAAAATACATCATAGTAAAATTAGTAACTTATCAAATATTTCCAGACTATGTGCTGTTTATTAAATAATCTTTTCGTCAGTTGAGTACAGAAAAGAGGCATTTTTCTTTTTATGATAATATTTTTACAGACATAAAATTCACAAACAATCTTTATGAAAATTTAATACATAATTCGTAATAAATCACTTTCACTAAAGGTATCAGTATCACTGCTGTAATGTGAATCGATCTCATTCCATAAAATGTATCTTCGCTTCCGTCCAAAGCTTTGGAGATAGGGCACATCTATCATTTCGTAATGCACGAACAAAAGAAAAATATTCATTTTCTATCATTGAGAAAATTCCGTGCTTCTGTCCTCTGAATACTCTACTTACATTTGTTTCTTGCAGCGACTGTTTGGATTTTCTACAGTCCCTTATTAATTTTTCACTTACATTCTATTATCTTTCAGAAGCTCTGTTTCCATTCTTTTCAGCATATTTAATAATCTACAGTTTAAATCCCGCCGTATAACTATCATTCTTTCTAAACTTCTTCCATAGTCAAGAAGAAAAAAAAAAGACGTCCAAAACACACACCCCACGAAATTCACCGTAAAACAAAATATTGGCAAGGATTCTTTTCTGTAACTTCAGACACGTTCATCCCAGTAAGTGGGGGGGAGAGAGAATAAGAACATATGTATGTTCGATTTAACTTCTTATTTTTCTGTGGTAATGTGAATTACCACTTTTAGTACAGTAAGACCCCGCTTAACACTGTTTCGTTTAGCGCTGTTTCAGTTTAGCGCTCTTTTTTTTTCAATCGGGGATTCCTCGAAATGCATCGCAGAAATTGTGCGCAGCGCTAGGTTTTCCAATAAATCCGAAAACAGTGTAGTTGTGTTTCTTTTTTGAAAACAACATTTGTTGACATTATTGTATTTAAATTTATAATACTACGATTAATACAGTGACAAATATTATCTTTAGTTTTTTCATGGGTGATAATAAAAACAAGAAAAGAAAGCAACCAGAAAAAGCATTTCACTGGACTCAAATGCAAGTGATTAGAAGATTAGATTGGTGAAAGTCAATCTTAAATTAGTGCTGCATTGAATTGGCAACTTCAACAATGAGGACAATTCTTAAGAATAAAGAAAAAATACTGTCATCGGCAACTGCAACTACGTCAAGCTCTGCAACTAGAATTCTGTTCTAAAATAAATTAGAGGAAATGGGAAAACAACTGTCTCTAGATACGACGAAATTGAGCGCAATATGCCATTAAGCCAAACTATCAATCCTTTGACAAAAAATCAGAAAATGGAAACACAGAATAGACGAATGATCTGACTGACTTAGAATTTATTTTTTTATAAGTATATTCGTTATTGTTTATTTTGTAAGAAATGAATTTTTGGTTTTATTTTTTAAAAAAAATATTAAATTTAATAATAACCAATTTTCTACCTATCTTTCCCTAACCCTATTATTTACATGTTAAGATAGCCTCGTTTAGCGCTGTTTCGCATTACGCTCTACTTTGATGGAACGTATCCCCCGCTTTAAGCGGGGTCTTAGTGTAATTCTTTTTTATCCCAAGACATTCATAAATAAGTCAATGAATGACCTCGAGTGTTTATCTCTTTTAAATTCCAAGAAAATTATTTACTATTCGTATAGTGAATGTATTTTCTATAAGCGGTTTTTGTGCTGTTTGCTAAGCAGAATACAGAAAAAACGTTATACTTGTCTGCGTATAAAATGTATGACTTTTCGAAAACGAATTAGAAAGACAATGTTATTAAAATTCAATAGTCTCCAAGGAAATGTATCGTATTAATCCAATATTGCTGCACTGTATTAAGCCATGATTCGAGACAATTAGAATAACCAGCCTCTTGAGCAATCAGCCGCCTAACATAGTTATTGTATACTGGTCATCAAAATTAAAGTATAATGACAGAAATGAAATGTACCTGAATAAAAATTATTAATAGAAGTTTGTACAAAAGTATTAGTTAACATAAATTACAAAGTTTGGTAGTTGATTATTCGCAAACTATTGAAACTAAATTTATGAAAATTGGCAAATTATGGAAAAATTAAATCACCTTTTGTGGGAACATTTTTTCTTTAATATGGTGTATGGTCAGATATGCATAGCTCCAATCTTGATTTCATAGACTTTACCAAAATGTTGATCAACTACTGAGGAATGGCACGCCATTCTTCAAAAAGTGCAATTTTCAGCTCTTGAAGGGTTCGGAGAGGAGTTTGGTGGGCTGACATTTCGCGATCTAAAGCATCCCACATGTGCTCAATCGAGTTCAAGTCCGGTGAGTAAGGTGGCCAATACATTCGAGTGATATTTCCTGTTTGAAAGCATCCTGACGAGGTCGATCATTGCCCTCCATTCGCAAAGCACTCTAGGTACCCCTGAACAGTCTAACTTAAGGTAACCCTGAACAGTCCCACATATCTCCGAGCGGTTACAGAACCTCCTTGAAAGATGTGCAGCTCGGTGCAGTCATTTGTCGTGATTCCTCCCCAAAACCATTAAACCGCGTCTAGGAAACGGGACTTCTCACGGGCAAGGGAAGGCAAGTTGCGTGTTCTTTTCTCTGCCCAAATCAAAAAATGTCTGGAATCTCTATTCAGACTATATCTGGATTCGTCAAACAATACTCGAGCCCAGATGTCTTGGGTACATTGAACATGACGAACATGAACTGCGTTTATTGTTTTTCAGTCACTTGATTTGCTACTCAGTAACAGTAAGAAAAAATTTTAAAGTAAAGTAACTTGAGCTTTACTGAAGCGTGAAGATAATCAGTATTCTATTTGACTCAGGGGCAACGCATAGCTTTCGAATACCCGAATTTGTGAATTAAAATTGAAAGATAAATTTATCATATTTTGCCGATGGCAACAGTTTACAGCACCGCAGATAAAAATGTTTAATTTCGAACAACGTTGCCACTTCTCGCTTTCAAACTGCAGAGTTTGTTAAACAGAAATTCGTTAAATTCTAGCAAAATGTGAAATAAATCAAAACTAAATTCGAAATTCACAATTCGAGCATAAAGGCGTTCATATTTGGGTGGCGGACAACGTGCATGAAACCTCGGTTAGCTCTAAGTCCTTTCTTTTTTCCACTGTCCTAGAAATATGCGTATAAAGCTGCATACAAACTCTTAAATAAGGAAGAATCTGTATGTACGTTTCTATAGAGCATGATGATATGAGGCTGAATTTAAGAGATTTTTTGTGCATCTTGGTGTAGTAGCATGTATGTTTGTATGTTCAGCCGCCTAACATTTTTATTATAAAAAAGGCTACATATAATGAAGTTCAGTTAATGAAGTTCAGCCAATGTCATTTCACGGCCTCCGCTGGCAAAAAAGAAAGAAGATCTGAAAGTATTCCGATTTTAACATCACACCAGAGAATTTCTCAAGATTTTTTATGCTGTCGCTGAGCATCGCAGGCCATCAATCTGCTGTTGGATTCACTCCAGCTAAAACACTTTTTTTTTCTGGCTTTATTATTAAGCAGTCGCCTTTTTTTTTTTTTTTTTTTTTTTTTTTTTTTTTTAGTCCAAAGGGATTTGAATCCCGAAGGACTATTAGTTTCGTTTTTGGCATTTTGCGTCGACGGATAAATTCGGTTCACTTTCAACGTTGCCATAAAATTTTAGACTCCTGCATTAATTTGAAGAAATTAAATAAGAAAATCTGCGTAAATGTATGTATATTCTCACATTTCAAAAATAACGGTACATAAGTCATCGAATTTTGAATACGTAATCCTCCAACGAATATGAGGCATGTGAAGACCAAATTTGAAATTTGAAATTTGTTTTATGATCGATTTCCTATTTTTAAATCTTTGACGAATTTTGGATTAACAAACTCAAGGATTTCAAAGCGAGCAATGGCAACGTTGGCCAAAAAATTTTATCTCCACGCGGAGTCTCGTCTCGGAAATTCTAAAGATATGCTCGTTTTAAAACTATTTGCGATATTGCGTTGCACTGGGCTCTTATGGTTTAAGTGCGAGGAACATGATATTTAATAAAGAAAGGGAACACACAAAATGTTAAAAAACACCTTTGGACGGATTTAAATCTAAAACATTTAGATTTTTTTTTTTTTTTTTTTTTGTTTTTGTTTTAAGTCCAAGGGCAATTTTCCCAGAAGGACTATTAATTTCGTTTTAGCATTTTGTGTTGATTCATTATAAACGTTGATTCACTTTTCAAATTGTTGCCATCAAATATAATCGCCCTGTGTTAGATTTAAAGAAATTAAATGAGGAAGCATCTTCATAAATGTATGTATGTTTTTCGCATTATGATAAAACAACGGTAGCCATCTAATTTTGAATAGCGTACGTTTCCACCCAAATATGGGCATCTGGAAGCCCTAATTTAGAATGCGTTTTATTATTTATTTCATATTTTGTAAAACTTTAACGAATTTTTGATGAAGAAACTCAACGATTTCAAAGCGAGCAATGGCAACACTGTACGAGAAAAAACATGTTTACCTCCAAGCACGCGGAACTATGTATCGGAATTTCTAAAGATAGGCTCATTTTAAAATTACTTTGCGATACTGCTATTGAATTGAATTTTATGGTTTAAATGCGAAGAACATGATATTTAATAAATAAAGGTAACACACAAAACGTTAAAAAACGCAGTTTTGAGCATAATGTAAAATCTGTTTTATTATTATTATTCGATCTAAGACGACCTTTTAACGTGGAAGTTTTTTTTAAATAATGCATAGCGATAACATTTGGTGGCAATAATTGGAAAACTTATTTGGACACAAAAGTGATAAGAAGAAAAAATTAAGTTTCGAGACTAATAATGGTAATCTGGTGCTAATAACAGTAAAAAAAAATTACAGCACTTTATGAGGATTGAAAGCCCTAGAGGGCTATTAGTCTCGGAATGCGATTTTCCTTCGAATGACTTCAAATGCGTGGCTTCTCTTTTCATAGTTTCATTTCTACTGCCTTTCGGCAAAAGTAAGATATTTATCTTTTAAATTGAATTTGTCTGTTGATTAAAAAAACTAAGCTATTTGAAAGCAATACATGCAGTTCTTAAGAATGTTCCTTTCTAACTTTTGAATTGGATTCATTTAAATATTAAAAATACATTTAATTCATCATCTCTCTAATTAAAAATATTCAGCATTTTCATAAAATGAAGTTATATTTTTTTTATTATTTGTTTTTCCTATTCTGTAAAACTTTGAGGAGTTTTTGATAAACAAACTCAACGACCTGAAAGCAGAAAGTGGCTACGCTATACGGAATAAGACATTTTTATATCCAGTAGTGAGACTTTGTAGCGGAAACTCTAAAGATTTTTTTAAGTATTTTGCGATTTTGCTGTTGAATGGAATTTTATGTGGCGTTAGTGTAAAAACCATCTAATTCAATAATAAAAAGGTTTCCTCACAAAACCTTAGTAATAAAAAGTCAAAAAATTGTATGCTATCTTACTAAAAAAGCTGAACACTGATACAATGAACTAAGAAAAGACCGAAAACAATAGGAAAATATATGCCAACACTTAACACTGCATGGGAAACTCTAAACATACGCTGCTATACTGCGTTTAAAATTTTTGTGATATTTCTGTTAAATGTGAAGAAAACGATGCTTAATAATAAAGTTAAAAAAGCACAAAAATGGATTAACAGAGTGAGGTCAAGAACGGTTACAGCCGAAAACATCGCGGCAAAAACATCGCGGACGAAAACGTCGCGGAAAAAATAACACAATGCGAAAACGTCGCAGTACAAAACATCGAGGAAGAAAATATTGCAGGGAGAAAATATTGCAGGGAGAAAACATCGCAGAGAGAAAATATCGTGGTCAAAAATAAAGCGGTTCAAAAACTTCGCAGTTTACGTGGTAAAAAATAAAGTACCTACAAATCATCGTATGACGATAACATCGCCCACATGCGTTTTTGGAATCCCATACTGACATATTATGTAACTCACTTTCCTCATAACTAACAAATCGAATAAAAAAATTGATTGTAGTATGTTAACAAAAAATACTATAAACTTTAAGAATGTTAACGAAATGTGAATGAACTTTAAGAATAAACGGAACCAAAACAATATATAATTTTCACTAAATATCAGATTAACAATGTGAATGAGAATAATTTGATCATTAACTAAGCAATTTTTATAGAGGTAACCTCATGCAGTTTTATTTATCTTCCTTTTTCTAAGCATTTTTAGACTGTATTTTTTATAAAAAAAACTATCAGTAAAACTTTATAAAAAAAGGTTAATTTGTTAATGAAACTTTGTTAATTAACTACATAATTTTAAAATTCTATTCAGTTCTATAAGTTGCATTAATTTTCTACTCATTTTCAATTTTTAAATGCTTAAGTTTCCTTCTTATTTTTTCAGCAAAAATTTATTAGCTCGTTCAAAAATATGAACTATAGAAGTAAAAGAATCCCTCTTTGCTTCTTGCGCTCCCAAATCATTATACGAACATGTATTTACAACTTTTGAAGCCTGAAAACGCGTGTGTGTGATTTTATGGTCATGCGATGATTTGTAGGTATTTTATTTTTTACAAGATATTTTCGACGACGATGTTTTTAAACTGCGAAGTTTTTTAATCGCTTTATTTTCGACCACGATATTTTGTACCACTATGTTTTAGAACTGCGATGCTTTCTTTTCTTTTTCTCTTTGCTTTCTTTTCTCGTACAATGTTTTGTACCACGAAGGTTTCGCCGACGCCGGCAATCACAGACTGGTAGTATAGTAGTACTATATATAATACTATTATATTTGTACTATATAGTTATATATAGTACAAAGTTTCTAATTAATAGTTCATTCGTAGTTAATAGTTCGTTTTAATAAGTGGTTCATATAACAGTTCATATAATTGATCATTATAAGTTCAATGCAGATGTAATTCATTGGTAAATTAATGGCTGTTTCATAGTTCTTTGTGCATAGAATAGTTCACACTATTGCATATGCATATTAGGTTGTATCGATGCTGGAACGGGAGAACTGTGTAGTACCCTCGAAGAGATTCGAATGCAGGACCTCCCAAATATGCTTCGAGTGTGCTTCAGTTACACCATAAAGGCATGCGGAAAGGGGAGAGAAAATACTTTATACATATTATAATTATTTATTTAATTAGTTAATCATTATTTAGACATTTTAAATAACCGTTTTGTATGTTTGGTGAATAAGCGAAATGATATATAATTATGAGCTTTCATTCAGCAGAACAGAAACATGACACTCTTCCATTAAGCCGTACTGTTATCTATGATGTGTCTAAAACCCATTACAAAGCAGATGCAATCGTATGCTTCTCGCCAGAAAGCTAAACGTGGACTTGTTCTGATGTTATTGTCAGACAAATGGGACAAATGACAATAAGTCAAATTTAAGAATTTATATTGATAAAATATAAATTCTGGTCTGATATCATTTCTTTTTTTGCTTTCCAGGCTCAGGACATTTCTTGGAGGAGTCTGCCTTCTGCGGCCTTCCTATGGAAATACAACATATCACGAGGCCTCTACTGCAGATAGCGACTTTCGTGTTCTTCTTTCTGCCGCTGACATTCATAATAGTCCTTTATCTGAAGATATCGGCGAAACTGAGAACAACCAAATTCGCTCGCATGACCTACAAAACAAATTCTTCGAGGGGTTCTTCAATTGCATCCGGATGCAGTGCCGAGCATAGAAAGACAGGAATCCGAAGATCTGTCAACAAAATGTTAAGTAAGTTTTTTATATGCTTGCAGTTTATTTTACCCACTGGACACTCAACATAAATCTCGCGGACAGACGTAACTTCTAAACAAGAACGAGAATCAAACGTCGATTGATATATTGGGTTGAAACATAAATAATGGCCGTTTCCTTTTAATTTAAAATTTGTAATTTAACAAAAAACAATAAATAATCAATAATATTTCAATTTTGGACTTTTCCCATAGACCCAAGATGTCGAACTATAGTCATTTGGATACAACCCATTCGTTTGGCTGATTCTGGAGTAGTTTGACGCGCGTCTTCGTGCAGAAGTTGATTCAAACGCTCTTCATCAAACTCATTTGGTCTTCCAGAACGAGCAGCATCTTCGAGGTCGAAATTTCCATTTTTGAATTTGGCAAACCAATTTGTTGCAGTTCGTTCAGGCATTGCTTCTTCTCCATACACTTCACAAATCTCTCGGGCAGCTTCTGCTGCATCGGTGCTTCGATTAAACGCAAAAGAGAATAAGCTGTCGAAAATGCTTATTTTTGTCGACTTGACACTCCAGTTTAATTATCTGAAAAATAACAAAAATTAGCTCAGACAAATAATCAAAGACGCCATCTTGTAGAGGGAAAGATTTTCTTTCAAATAATACAAAACGTTATGCCAATACATTTTATTTTTACCGGGTAATTTTAAACACAACATAAACGCCCATTACTTATGTTTCAACTCAATAGGTTCGTAAGTAGCCTGGGGGGCGGGTACTCCCTGGAATCGATTAAAAATTGTGTTTTTGTGTTGAAAGACGATACTGTATTTTAGAATCTACAAATTACTGACTAATCAAAAATTTATTAAAGTAGTTTTTGCCTCCAGTCTTTGTCCAGCCTTCGAAAACCTTCTGTGCACTCAGCGGAAAGTGATATATGGTAATAAGAGGTGTCATATGTCTCGGAATCGTCTCACGGGTGATTCTGCTTTTAAAGTGGGACGGATTTGGAAACGTTTATACAATCACTGATAAAGTGCACGAAATCTAAGCCAACAACAACGATTTACCCTTGGCAATGATAACCATCACAGCAGCACCACAAGAACTCTGATATATCTATGTAATCGGCTTTGACTGTTCATCATGGTTCATTGCTCAAGACTAACTTGTAAATCGTAATTTTTATTAGTACCAGAGGTGTTATAAAACTTGATCCTCGTTTTGTGCCCGTATCACTTTTCAAATAATAGGATGTTGTCAACAAATGTTGTCGCCATGCATAATTTTTAAAGAAATAATATAGAGAATATAAAAAGGTGTATCGCAACACTTAACACTCTACCATATATTTTGAAAATTTGCTGCTTTTAAAAATTTATGATTTTACTGAAGTTTTTGTGGCATAAGTGCGAAGAAAGAAATAAGTAATAACAAAGTTAAAAAGGAAAAAAGTGTTTAAACGCTCAGGCGTGCGTCCAAGAGCAGACTGAAAAACTGCGAGCTCAGCGAGAGAGTAAACCCTTTGTTTCAACGTTAAAGTCTGAATCTTTTCAATTCGCTCAAAAAATAATTACGTATTATAATTAATTATTATTATTATTATTATTATTTATAAAAGGCCCTAAACGGCCTGCGCATAATCAGCGAAACAGTAAAACAAAAAATTAAAAAAAAAAGAAAACAAAGGAAGTTATTTTTTTTATTATATATTATTTTAAAAATTTACGATATTATATAAATCACAAATTTTTATTATTTTATAACCCTATTCCCTAGCCTTTTGGAAAAAAAAAAAAAAAAAAAAAAACAAAAAAAAAAAAAAAAAAAAAAAAAAAAAAAAGAAAAAAAAAAAAAAAAAAAAAAAAAAAAAAAAAAAGATACAAATTAATTTTCTACTTTTACCGGGAAAAGCAAGGTATAATTAAAAAAACAAAAAAATTAAAATCATTTTATCTTCCCGTCCTTTTCAGAAAAATTTACACAAAAAGAGTAACAAGAGCATAATATCAGCATCACAATATCCTATGCAAACCCAAACACCGATGAAGTGAATGCGAATTAATTTTCACTGCCCACTTCATCTATTTTCTTATCTAGTGATACCTTACCCAACAAACCGAAAAAGATAACTCTCTTCCTTTACACACAACTCTTTCTCAATCTGGATCCTGGAAAAGGTCGACGTCCACCTATTTCCAAACATAAAAAAAAGATAAAATCAGAGATATTAATTAAAAACTCTTAAAATGCTAATTTTCGTCCTCATTTTTCCGAGTGGCAACAGTGCTGATATCAGCAACAAGAGTAACAGCGATATATCAGCAGCAAATGGCTGCGTGCCATTGTTGCTGGTATACCCGTTATGTCTGATGCGATTTGTATGTTTGTCTTGTCTGATGCGATGCACTGGCTCTTGTCTAGATGCACCTTATGTACCAAATTTCGTAGCCTTGGGTCTATTAGCTTACGCGCAGCAAGACCGAGACACACACAGACTCTTCCTTTTATTATATGTAGAGATTATCTTAAGTAATATATCAAGAGCATAAAAAATCCATATACGTCTCTCCTTTTAACAGTTCATTCAAATACCTTTAACAGTTCGTTCAATATTGTTTTAAATATCTTGTTGTAAAGATCGAGTGGATTATTCTGAGACAGTCTGTATACAAAGAAAAACAAACCCTGAATACTGCAGTTCGCGAACCTGGCTTCAAGACAGTAATAATTTACAGATTTCATAACCTAATCAGGTCTACTACTAGTAGTATCGCCACCAACTCGAAAGACACTGCCATTAAATAACAACTTCAACTACCTATTCAGAACTCCCAAAATTTCAGTTTTTATTTAAATACCTAAGCTTTCAATTCGGCAGTGAGTGTCACAGGATCAAAGAGCGTTGAATCGTCAAATAGGAATTAATATCAGTAGCGCATCTGACTATTTGAACATGGCGAAGCACATGAGGGCTATTCACCTAGGTGGTGGGTGGCCTTCGTGGAGATTCAGATCTAAGAGAAACGGACTCATATTCGTTTACATGGTGGTGAAAAATAAAAAAAAAAACTAACCAAATAGCAAGCCTATTTGCCTGGCAAATAAGCATTTGGCAACTAGTTTTCGCCCTTTTTTTGAAGTAATTTTATCGTTCAAAATTCGAAAGAGGAAATTCATGCGCAGAATTTAATATTCGAAACAGGCGTTTACAGTAATGCAATGAAAAGTAGTCACGGATAAACTGTAGGTAACTAATACAATATAATTATTATTATCATTGTTATTATTTGAAGAGACCTACATTCAATAAGAATACACAGTAGTATTAACATCACAATATGTAATAAGATATCCTTTATTTCTAATTTTTCATAAGTTAAAATTCGCACATTCTCATTACTGTCTCTGCTACATTTTAGGCCTCAAATCATCCATAAATAATTAGAGAAGGTGAATGTGCGGCTGACTCACAAATATCGTAAGTTGAATGTCGGTTCGCATTTGCTTCGTTATGATGGATCAGTTCTTGTATTCGATCTGCATAAAGTTCAACGATTAAAAGGGAAAGGTTCGACGTGACTTTCACAGGTAGTTTTCGAGGATTTGCCATTGTTAGTAAGACGAAAACAATCACTACTGGGACGAATCCATTTTTTGAAATTTAAAAGAGCTCGTTTTCTTAACGCATTGAGGAAGGGGAAAGTTAAGCAAATAACTTTTAAATTTTCAGAAATTTTTTAAATTCAATCTAAATAGGTTGTAAGAAAAATACGAGAGGAAATACATTCTTAAGAAACTCATTGTCGCAATTTACCACAAAAACACGCTCGGATGTGCATTTTTCTTTGTTGTAATGTAACATTCAACCAACAACGGTATGAAACGAAGTTTGACAAAACATTTATATCTAGTATCTTTTATTAATCGCTATGGTTGGGGTTTTCCCTTGTATTGGGCATTTCAGTGATCCAACAAGGCATCAATTCAGAATATCTCAGATAACCTTAATTCGATTGTACATGTGAATGAGTTCAGCATAATTTTTTTTTTATTTTATTTTAAAATCTTACAGTTCAAAATTTGATCAGCAGTGTGTCTACATTTATTTGCATCAAGCCCTTACAGCTTCGAAATTCTTATTTTCGTACATCGATACTAAACTTTCTAGTAACATTCTTCCTGCTTAGTAGCTGTTTAATCTTCGGAATCATTAAATGCACAATTGCGAAAAATCGAAACCGTCTTAATATTCAAAGGCTACCGTAACACAACAAGAAAAGGGACGAGTTTCCGGAGGTAGCAATCGTATAGTCGACAACACGAGTATATCATTATCCTAATGGTTTTATAGAAACGTTTGTAAAGGATACGCATGCATTTGATTCTGTTCTCAGTTTAATTATTTCTAGAAGGTGATTTAAAATCAGTACTTCGTTAATTACGATGAGCTTGCTAATGCATGAAATTGATTACCCGTCTCGTTGTGTTTTTGTTATCTGACAGCCTTTAAAACAGTTCAGCGGGCAGACAAATCCACGGTAATAAATAAATAAGTAATAAAAAAAATTTTAATTCTGAAAGTTTTCAGATTTTATGTTACGTTTGAAAATATTGAGTTTTTTTAATCGAAAATTCATTAAAATTGTAGTAAAACAAATTCGAAATTAAATATTCGGACTTTCATGTGCTCATACTCGGGTGAAACATTACGTTATTCGAAATCTCATGGATATAGGTGCAGTTGATTTTTCACAGTGCGAGAAACATGCATATATTCACGCAGATTCTTCATTATTTATTTTTTTTAATGTCATACTGGACAGTAATATTTGAAGGCAGCAATGTGAAAAGTGATTCAACGGTTTTAGTGACTGGACGCGAAATGTCATTTAGAGACGTCGCAAAAATAAAGCCAAGGAAATGTCAATAACCAAAGTGAATGCCCAAATTTCGAATATGAAATGCTTACTCTTTATAGTAGGCATTTCATATTCATGCTTAATTATTAGTTCTACATCAATTAGTT